CACTTAATAACTAGGACTAAATGAGGATTATAAACCTATGTGAAGAATTAGAATTATGATTTACAGTTGATGATTAAGATTAGAAATTAGATTTCGAGCTTTCATCATCAACTGACATCAGTTATATTGTCAAAACTCGAATTATCCAAATGGTTGAGTGAATTTCGCGCGAAAATCCGAGACCTGGTATCTTACACGCGATTAGTTCGTCCATAAATTATAGTCTCACCCTATTAATCTATCTTCAGTTACTTCATTACACAATCATCTAATATTTATTAACTCTATGAATTCTGGTCATTGTTTCGATGTTCTGGAACTTTCCCTCTCAATCTTTATTTATTCGAAACAAAATTTTATGACTTCATTAACTCTATCGGAATCTTCGCGACATCATGATACACATATATTCATCTCTAATCACTCTTTTATATATAAGTATGTCAGTATTTGTAATAACATTGATTTTTAGATTTATAGGTTGTAAGCAGCTGATAAAAACCTAACAAAATAAAATGTATTCATATTGTTTTGCATTAATCTTCTTTCTTTCTCTCTTTAACTTTGTGTTAATTAAATGAAATGTGCAAAGTGTTGGGTTTTTTAAGATGAAGTATTTTATTTTAATTTAATTACAAAGTACTTATTCTTCTTATATGCCTTCATATTTCATATTTTACTATAATATTTAGAGTAATGTTTATCAATTAAAAGATTTTGAGATTTAAATGAAATTTTCGGTACTAAAATAATGCAATGGACAAGAACACATATGATTACTAACTGAGATAATGGATTAATGTATTACACATAGTAAATCATTGTCCTACACCAACGTACAATAACGGTCGCTTTAAGAATAATGTACAAAAAAAAACAAGGAAGTGCTTTTGAGATATTAGATAGCAGTTAAAAAAAGACCTTAAACGTGACAATTTAAAAAAAGATAACAATAATACAAATGTACCTCTAAATTTCTATATTAATACCCTTCATCTGTTGTATATAGTATTTCAACTCGTATTTTTTAAAATTTCAACAGGGTTTTTTTAATTGCCAGAAAATTTTTTAAAACTTTTGTCCGCGTTTTTTAAAATTTCTTCATAATTCTTACATGCCAGAGATGAATAGAAAAAAGAAACAATTTAATTTCAAATGAGAAGAGACAGTGCCTCATAAAAAATATTATTGAAGATGAATTTATTGTCAAACATGCCTCATTTCTTTGTGGATGTGAATTATCAAGCCGCTGCAAATGTTATAAGGCTATATAAAGAAAATTTTGAAAAACGCAGACAAAATTAAAAAAAATGTTTCAGTTATTTTAAAAAACCCTGTTGAGATTTTTTAAAAAGCGAGTTGAAATACCATTAAAATAATATGTCAATATCTTACACTAAACAATGAATTACCATGTTATAGATCTAAGATTAAATTATTTGATCAATAGAACTTGACTAATAAAATGCTTAATATTCTATCATTTCTTTTGTAAACCAAGTCACGGCTTCTCACCATAACTCCAGGAAATTTATCTTGAAGTCGGTCACTCATAAGCAGATGATTATTATCACAAGGGGTTTTGTGGAGATTTATTAATTTTAATAGTTGAAGTTAGACATTAACACCGTTGGATGCCAGCTCAGTGGTCTAATGGTTAAGCGCTCGTGCGCGAGACCAATAGGTCCTGGGTTCGAATCTCGCGGGAGGGGCGGGATGGTGGATGAACACTGCTGAGGAGTCTTACAATGGAACGAAACGGCAGTCCAGTGCTCTCAGGTTCCCCGTGGTGGTCTTGCTTCAATTGACTCATGATTCCAACTATTGAAATTACTGAGATCTCCAGAAAACCCTTTCCAATGTTAAATAATTGTCACTAAAGATAAGCATCAATTCTTTTAATATTTGTGATTAAAATAAATACTAGCGAATATCTGTTGTGAGGATAATAAGATAAAAGCTAATAAGAACAACTTATTGAGAAAGAAAACTAAACACACAAAATGTTTGTGACAATAAAAATAATAATAATAATTTATCTGGGCATCTTGTTTGAATGTAGTTTGACATTATCTTAGAATGATAAAGGATTTCTAACTATTAGACAATGTTTATATTAACATCTATCTCTATTAAACTCATTTATAGACTAAACTTTGATTACACTCATTGTTCATTGATTCAATAATTTTTTTAAGTATCACATACAAACAATCAATCGTTATACACAAAAAGAGACAAATGAAACTTTTTTTTGATGATTGCGAAGAAAACATAAAAAAGATCATTTCAGTCTAAATTGCTGTTATATTATAAACAGTACAGCTACTCTAAACAAAATACAGACGAATATTTCACCCATGCATAAATCTGTGATGGAGTGTTGTACAAGTAAAAACTATTGGTTCAAGGTCTTAATCGTTGTGTTGGAAATACACATGTGACATATTGTAGACATATATGGATACATAAAAATGACCGAGTTAAAATTGTTGCACAAATCGAGTGTATCTCTGTAGATAATTGATAATATTTTAACATTGTGTCTTAAATTTTCTAGAAGGCTCCACTATAAGATGACAACATTGAATCAAATTAAGATGGACCATTTTAATAATTATTATCAATCATGATAAGCATATCAGATAATAATTGATTGTTAAAGATAAAAAAAATGAGATTCTACATTTGTTAAATGACTGTTACAAATATTATACAAGACTTCACTTGACATATATTGAAATAAAAAAGTTAAGTTCAGCGAAGAGTTCTCTTTTCCGAGAATTCATTTTCAAAGCTGTACAACTGCAATTATATATACTTATTTTTACAGCTTGATAATAATACTGATAATAAACTTCTGTTAGACAAAGTGACAGTAAGGTTAAATAAACAAAGCTATTAAAATTTTTTTTAAAACAAGGAAAGTTTAGTCATTGTTTGATTGTTAATGACTTAAGCATTCATCAAAAGATATATAGGGAAATTATCACTGGGAAAGGAGGGCTCAGCATGATAAGACAAAGTGTTGAAATTGAGATTTAATGTAATCAGAATGATCATGAAAACATGGAAGGCGAAGCAGATGGCTGTAAAGGAAGAAGAGTATGAAAAAGAAAAAAAATTTTTAACACATTAAGGCCATGGTAGAAAAACAGGTTGTACCAGACTCATTTGCACACACAATTCTGGTTTTTCCAGATGTATGGCTAATGCTTCGGCGATGCAAAGAAGATGAAATCTAATTGTCTTTGGGAAACTTCTACTTACCTGTAGATGACTTTGAACTCAGAGTCTGTCTTGATTGAGTGACCCGTGTTCACAGGGTGTTCGATTATTGTACTTCTGATTGAGCCGTTGCCTTCTCTTTTTAGCCACGCCGGATAATGTTCTTGAATGTTTTTGGATAAAGTATATTGAAACCAATACTAACACAATACACAATCGTATCTACCCTTAATCTATTGTTCAGGTATGTTTCATATATAGAATTATTTTATACAGTTTCAGAGATTGTATTATATTTGTTTCACTAAGCTTTGTCTTTGTTCTGTATTCGTGCATCAATATCAGTATTTCTACTTTTTTCGGTTTTCTGCTTAAGTTTACCTTGTTGTTTGCTTGTGTTTTTTTATACATGATTTCATCTAACACACAATTGTGTCAACTCCTCTACGGTATTTTTTTCAAAAATTTCTTTTCATGATTTTCTAAAATCAGAAATACCACAAAGTCTACTTACATTGTTTCATTTCCAAGTTAATATGGAAAACAAAAAAGAAAAGATCTATGAAGATTTTTACACTTCCCTTCATTTAGAGAGTTTTAAACTAGAAAGTTACTTGCAAGGAAGGGAAATACTTCAAATGAAGGGCATAATAATGTATATTGAATAGTACACCTACATATATCAAAATCTGGACATACACACTCACAAATTAAGAGATCAAGGCTTTATGTAATGAAATATATTTATTTTTTGTTAAATTATACTACGTATTTGATATTCAGGTATTAACATGTACAAAATATTCTTTACCTACTATTTATAGTATGCATCCGTCAATTCATACAAATATAGTTTCACTGAATTTTGTATGTTTCATTATTTAGGCTGTAGTTAAAAATCGCCTACATAAAAATATTGAAGCGATGTTTTCATTATTCTGTCTGACAAAGTGCATATCCAATATAATAATAATATTAATAATAACAATAATAATAATAAAAAGCCTACTACTTATAACCAGTGCTAGATGTTAAATTTCTATTGTGCATACGAAGTAAAACAAAATTGTTACGTAAACACCATATTTCATCATATTATTGAAAAACAATCATCACACCTTTGTTTGAAAAAAAACATGAATTTATATTAGTTAGTATAATACGATTTCATAAATAATTGTTAGAATGAAAGTTTGTGGAAATTGTAGTAATTTAATAGTTGAATTCATGAGTCCACCGCCACCACCATTAAAATCCTGGAAGCACTAGATAGCTGTCTCGTTCTATTATGGCACTCCTCAACAGTGCACATCCATGATCCAGCACGCGGGATTCGAACTCAAGAGTCCCATACTAGAACGAAACGGCTGTTCAGTGCTTTTAGGTTTTCCAGGGTGATCTAGCTTAAATCGACTCATGAATTCAAACATTAATAAACAATTAACTAAGTAATAAATTATGACAGAATTAGATAGATAAATTGAATGAATAACAGTTTGAAATATTATTTTTAATTTCATAAATTAGTGTATAGAAGATAATTAATTATATACTTGGATAACTTGATGGTTATTGATGAACAAATTGTTAATTATTTGATAATTAAACTTTATGGCGATTAAGAATAAAGATTTTCAATTAATTAAAAAAGTAAATAGAACATTAGAAAGAGAGATACACAGAAAGTTCACAGTTGGACAATATACTCATTCATATAGTATTGAACCAATCAGATACAAAAGAAACTTATTAAGTATCCCAACTCATCGTACTAGAATTAATTGTTCTGATGACATCATTGTGGATGAATTGAGTAATTTTCGTAATCTGCTTGGTAGGAATGGATACCTAACAAAATTCATCAACAAACACATACAATTACTGAATGATGGTACCACGAAAATGGTGGCTCAAAGATTAAGAAAAATGGTAGAGAAAACGAATAGGGCGTACGATTCGGCAAGTCTGTCATCTCATAGCAGCACACCATACGTCTTGGATGAGCAAAGGATGGGTGATTAAGAGTTCTATTCTAGCTCACTTGGTGAACACAGATCATCAAGTCGACTTGAATAAAGCTTTTAAAGTCATCCACCATATTTCATCAAATTCACCATATGGTTTACAAGTTCGTCTTTTGAACATTGCTGAAGCATTTGCATCTAAAAGAAGTTTGTGCAACCACTCTTGCTACCTTGGCCATCGATATAGGAGTAAGTTTGTAGCTGAACTTGGACGAAATCATATCCTTCAAAAATATTTAAACTATTTTCTAATTTCTATCACCTTTGTATATTGCATATTCTTTGATTCTTACATAACTACTATAATACTGACCTTTCACTGAAATATTTTGTTAGTTCCCTCCTTTCATATATTAAGCAACGTAGCAACTGTTCAATTTTTCGAATACCTATTTTTTTTATTGTAATCCTCTTTCTTCCAATTACTTAATATTATTTTTTAATCAATGTGTTATCATGTAATTATTACGTAACGCAACTACTCGATGAGTATTATTTGATTGTTCAAATCATATATATATATATATATATATATATATATATATATATATATATTAGTGTAGAGCCGTGATGAAAAACTAATTCAGGAGAAATTTCCTCACTCGATTGGATCTTTTTCTACCAAATGTCAAAACTGGAATTTTTACTATGTTGAAATATATAATTTCCCGAAACTATAGGTACGCTTACATTTTATTTGCTAACAGGTAAACTTGGGAAATACAGTTTTATTGATTGTAGAGCGCATGTTGACAGATTGGTAATAGAGTTAAACTGTATTGATTGGTGAGTAGTCAGTCATCTAATCTCAAAATTTAACAGAATACATAATAAACAGGGAATGAAGTACAAATTTATCTTAATTTTCTTAAGGTTTCGAAGATAGTGATTAGTTGGATTCACTTCACTATGGTCCAAACTAACTATTGATTACACATAGTCTTGAACAATTGATTTCTTGTCCTGAAGGTCTTTAGGTAAAATTATGGATAAACATTTAATATCTTTATGAAGTCAACATATGTTTCGGTTTAAGAGAAAAGCTGTCAAAATACCCCTTGATCAACGAAACCAAGTATCACTTTTCAGTTGGTGAATATAATTGTAGAGATCCATTGGCAGATCTTTAAATAATCTAGTGTAGAATGATTCAATGTATTTATGAAAAAAAAACGGACCAATGGAGGTGGTTAGGTATGTATAAAAGATTTCTCGATCGTTTTATTTGTAAATATTCACAGTCATGAAAACTGATTTGTCAACTGTAAAACGCGCAACACCATCTAATACTTCACTCAGAATTTAGAAAAAAATCTCTAAATTTTATTGACATGATTAAATTATAATCTGATCAAAGTATAACGTTTGAATGTCTTTCACTTAATTAATTGTAACCATTTAAACATTCGTAAGTTGTAAACAATCAAGGCATTATGTTATATAAGTCAGGTTTGTGATATCTTGTACAGTAGTTTCAATCAAATTATCCAGCATTTTTTATGTGCAATGATGAAGTAAACTTCTATCACTGATTAATCGGTTAACAAAAATAAAATATTATTTATAACGTAAAGTATAAATAACAGAAACCATCAAAAAGCGAATTAGTTTGTGGTAGTCCTTGTTTCTGTCACGACAACATTTGGGTACATCATATTGAAATTATTAAAAAAGCAACAAACCCATGACACCGAAATTGTGGTTTACACACACACACACACGCTTGCATGCACATAAATGTACACGTGAATAAGTCATCTGTTATTCTGACCAATGGACTAATTTATTATTAATAGGAACACTATGTCTACAACTTGAAAGAGTGAAATTGTTTTGTTTTCATAAAATTCTGAAATTATCTACACAATATATAATGTTCTATAGATAAATGAATATGACTTTAATTACAAAATACACACAAGCTTAAAACAACACTCTATATTCAACAACTAAAACGCACTAAATATGGGAGTCTATGAAACAAACATGAGAAAATCTAACTAACATTTGTCATTTGAAATATATCCTAGATATTAGCAAATAACTATCATATTAATTAATGACTCTGTACTAACACTATAGACATACGGAACAATGTGGCATTACATAATGTACAAGTACAATATGCGCTGAAGGTATTCATGATGACAACGAAAGCTCTAGAATTCTAGCATCTGGTTCAGAGAACATAACACAACCAGAAGCATCTATCTAAGTTGTGAATATTCTTGATTATTTATAGTTCTCTTTCTAAATCCTCTTAGTATTATAAATTTCAACACGTTTAGACTTAATAATCTTGTATATCAGAAACATCTGTAGAATGTAATGAAAATTATGCATAAATAAACCAACAGCTGAAAGAGGATATCTGGCAATGTTAATATAAAGTTCACCTAAATAAAAGACAATTAGAAGTTTGTCAATTAGTATCTCGCATAATAATTAAAATTATACTGTACTAAATACCAACATATATATACATATTTTGTTCCAAAATGTAATTTTATCAATTTAATTCATTTAAGATTTAAAAATTGACAGTTAGATATAAACATTGATGAATATAATAGATGTTGTAACACAGAAGTCTAGAAGGTTATTTAGCAACTGATATCTTATTTTCATATGACGTAACACAAAACTAGAATTATGATAGTCACAATACCGATAAAATAGTTAGAAATTTTAGTACTTTGTCAACACACTTGTCATCTCATTATGTGGTAGGTTTATTTATAAATTATTAAGTCCAAAAAAAAAAGCGATTAACACTTTTGATGCAGAAATGATATAACTTATTACTAAGAAAACAATAACTGTAATCAAAACTACTCAATCCAATCCATTTAGTGGGAACAACCCACGTGTTTATTCAACTGTGCTTTTTTACAAGAATCATAATAAGACTAATAAAACATTATGGTGTACATTATCTAACAATTATAACTGTTAATTCATTTAGATCACTTAAGAAAGAAAATTTTCTGATGTTATTAGTCAACCAAAGTAAGCAAAAAAGTTAAATATTCAAATACACTTGGATCAATTTCATTCAATATAAATATATTAATTAATTAATGTATGAGAAATAGAATGGAAAGGTACTTCTATAAGAACAAGATAAAATAGAATGCAGAAAAATGTAGCCACTTGTGAAACGGTTTAATGGAATAATGAAATATATTACTGACTAAAAGAATGATCAAAACAATGATATACAGTGTACAAAAATAAAAATAACTATTAAAAGTTAGTTATAATCAACTTATAATCTGCCAAGTATATACATTAATGCAAGTAATCACAAATGACATTAGCTCAGAAGTCAATTAGTCGTTCATAAACAATACAGAAACGAAATTAATAAGAATACCCAAGTAAATGAAAAAAAAAGTAGTAGTAATGATAATTAAGAAACATTTAACATTGAGAACATGTTTCAGAAAAACAGTTGAAATATATGTACACAGGGGTACTAGTGCATGCTTCTACACCATTTCAAACCATTCTAAGTCATTTCACCCAGAGTCCTTAACCATAGGTTGTGATAATCACCCAGACCTTGAACAAGGAGTCTAAATATACCAGCAGATAGCTTCGACTCTCAACGATTTTTATAAAAGGATACTAGGGTTAAGCTTCCCGCCTCTAGCTTTCTTTTAGATTGCTGGAACACAAATAAATATACCTAGGTCGCTAATTTCGACAGTTATGAAGAACGCTTTAACCTTGCCTGAAAACGAATTGCTGAATATACGGTCGCAAATTAGCACACTTAGTGTCAAAGTGCATTAAATTCTCTAGGTTACTTTTGTGAAACTAGAACTAAATTGACACCGCCACACTTCTGGCTGATTTACTACATCGCATTCCAAACAATCGGGAAGACGCGTATTAAGATACATCGTTCTTACAGTCAATTCATAGTTTTATGGGTCGATAAACAATTAGAACCCATTAAACAACTCTAAGGTCTAAGCTTGCACGATATAATAAGATAGATGGCAGTCATAAATTCATAAAACTTGATATAGCCAAATTGAAGGTAATAATTTCTGTTCCATCATCTTTATTAAATATCAATCAATTTCAAAGTAGACTGGACGGTTTCGAATGATCTCACCTTAAGGATTGAATAAATTGCTACAGATGTATGTTTATTAATTTTATTAGTAAGAAAACAATTGATTGTAACAAAATTAACATTTAGCTAACGAAAACAACATAGTACTATTGCAAATCACGAGGAAGGTATCTAGAGAACTATTCAAATCTTAAGTGTAGTCATACAGCAAACGCAGAATATAAACAAGATCAATTACAAGTAAAAGTAAATTATTAGTGAATAGAAAACGAAATGTCAAGATTCATGTTTCATATGATTAACTATGAGATGATATTTAAACATTCTGAACAATAATCATGGTAACAATTATGGACCAAATAGATTTTTAATCTCCTATATACTCTAAAACATCAGTAAAATGAGTTTTTCACACATATGAAGACGAATCAAGTTAGATTAATAGTACCATTATGAATAAAGCGAATTTTTATTTCATCTCACTAGATGTGTGTTTCGTAAATAATCTTGATATGTTGCTAAAAGAAACAAATAATGGAAACGAAAATGGATGCTGAGAAATGTTTCAACCGAGATCGCAAAATGCTTGTACTACATTAAGTTACCAAATAAAACATTGAGCTAATTAATCCTCAACTATCGAATTAAACATAATTACTAAACGATTTTAAACGTATGAAGATTTTCAGTAAATGACTTTTCTAATTTTAACAGAATTACTCAAAAACAGAATCTTCTTGGAGAATAACATTTACTAAAATTGACGTTAGCTTAAGACACGTTTCTAGTTAGGCTATTTAATGTAATATTGGTAAGCAAACTGATCTTTACACAGAAGATTTTGATAACTCAAAAGTTATTGGCTTCAACTTTAACGTCAGACAGAATTTTCTCAGATGTTTTTCCAGTTAAGTTTCAAATATATATCAAGTAGATAAACAGAACAAACTGCAATGCTTGACACAATGCGAAATTAACGAAAAGGGTACGTTTCCCGAAATATTCGCAAATTTATTGGTCTAAAAGTAAAAATATCAATAAAGTGAGAAACCAAGTGCAACGTTGAGTGCTTAATTTATTCCAAAGTATTTATTTGACCTTGGCTGAACATCGAAATACATCAATTATGAAGCAGAATGAAATGAAATAGCTGAAAATAATATCAGGTATATTAAATAGCTAGTAATCTAACAAATGATCGCTCGGCGAATAACAGTTAACTCTCCTTTAGGATAAATACCCATGAAAATTACCGTAAAATAATATCTAAATATTTTGCAAATCAGTATGTTATTATACCAGACAAGAAAATCTGCTCTGTCGGTTGCTGACTTGCATTTGATTTCTGTTGATCTTAAAGATCACATCAATGAATTTCTTAAAAGCAATTTTCACTCGGTCACATCACGTCATTAAGTATAACCACTTGCTCCAAATTTCGTATGCTATATTGACAATCCAAACATGCTCATCCGTCTCATCAGCCCTTGTGGTTTGGTATGTGACGAAATCTCAGCACGGATACAGAAGGCTCGACTAGCTTTTGCCAACTTGCGTCATTTGTGGCGTAGGCGAGATATCCGTCTATCAACCAAAGGACGTGTTTACTGCGCAGCAGTTCGTTTCGTCCTACTTTATGGCAGTGAAACATGGCCAGTAAGTAGAGGATATTCGTAGGTTACTAGTATTTGACCATATGTGTCTTCGAAACATCGCTCGTATATCCTGGGACCACCGAGTAAGTAATGCAGTTGTTATGAAACGGGTACTAGGTAAGGATGGCAAATCAATTGAGGAAGTAGTGAAACTTAATCAGTTGAGATGGCTGGGACATGTGTTGCACATGCCAGACCACCGACTGCCCCGACGTGCTATGTTTTATGGTGTAGGAGTAGGTTGGAAGAAAGCTAGGGGCGGCCAGACCAAAACATGGCACAAATCCATGAAGTCACTGACAAGTGGACTTGTTGGTAGATGTAGACTACCTGGTTGGGGACCGCGAGACGCTAGCAACCGATGGTTAGAGACCTTGAACGGCACTGTTCGAAATCGTTTGCAATGGCGCAGGTGCATCCACTCTTTGTGTTCTCCCAAACTCTAACCTTCTGAATTCTTCACGTCCTTTATTTTCTTTTCAAATTTGTTCTACTGGATTATACTCCTTGAATAACACCATCAAACCCTAATGTTCACTATCACTACTTATACTTTCAGTACCTCCGCCACTATAGGTTTGAATGGATAACTGAATCTCTGTGCTAATGTGGTATGGCAACTCGAACTGATGTACGTACGTACGAAGTTCCACGTTGTTACTGACTGACTGACTGACATCCGTCTTTAAGATTTTTATCAACAATAATCCTACACATGTGACTTGGTTAAGTTGTTAGAGAGCAATATCAAAACATCTATCTGTCTGAATTTTGATTATCGTAAACCTTCACAATAAATCATATCAACCTCAAGCATAAAACCTTTTTTACGACGTGAAATTATTTGGAAAAGATTTGATGTTTTTCAGTTTGTGTGAATAGTAGATATTAATTTCTATAAAACCGCTAATAATACGAACATTTCTGATTCTTGTTTGTTACTAAAGACACCCTTTGAAATGCACAAAACAAATAAGTCCCAAAGTAAACGGGCCGATTCTAAACAGTTTTATGCAACTAAAAATATGTTGGTGTGTTAATAAGATTTAAACTTAATTCGATCTCTGTTAATTAGTTAATACACTTAAAAAGGTCTTTTAAAGTTGAGTTTAAACAATTCCCTTATCAGAGGTATTCAAGATGAATACTTGAGCTGGTCAATTATTCATTTACGATTCTCGTTAAAATAGACTCGAATTATGACATACTCAACCAAAGAATGATTTACTAGTATTAAAACTATTTTCAGTAAAATATGTGGTTATTTAAAACAAAGAACAGGTTAAAACAAAGTTCAACAATAAGCAAGACGTATTACCTAGATGTTCTAGATCCTGCTTTAAAAGCCGATATTCATAACGCATTAAAATCAATCTTCATCATAGTTTTTAAAAGATAGTACTTTGGAGATCAATAACACAATTTTATGAAAAATATTTTTACAATAACTAAAATTTTAAAAAGCTTTTTTATTACTTCCCAGTTATCAACAATTATTTACTCTCATAGATGTTACTCAAAATTGCATCAAGCAACATCGAAACGCATAAAACTGTAGCTAGATATAGATTTAAGATAATTGGGACATCCAACTTCATAAAGCTGGACATTTTCAACAAATGAAGTGATAAAAAGTATAATGTTAAATTTGAACATAATAGAAGCCAAGGGGTAAGGTGAACATTATCAGAATAATGATGAATACTTAGTTAAGCCAAAACACAGTTAAAAATGTACGCCAAGGGCAGTTTAACTATGGGTCGTGTGTCAAATAATCACGATATTAAAATGCCTGTATTTCTAGGGTTCATGGGTTTATGGTGGAGCACAATCGGAAACTTTCTTCGTTAAAACTGGAGACATATTATACTAGACGCTAATTATTTACATGCAATCACGTTATCACAATTACATAAAAAAGCACCGGGCCATAATATCAATAAATTTCTATTAGCATTTAGCCACACCAGTTTCTCCATGACTGATTAGCGTATTTTATTGCTATAAAAAATTCTAAAATAAACACTAAGGAAAGAAGTATCGTAGGAATGTATATAATATACGAAAAATATATTAAAAATCTATCACTCAGTTGAATATACGTGAGCCAATAAGAGGTACAAGTTGTGATATAGCAGGTATTAGTTTTAGAAACTGAAACTCGCAATAAACAAAACTCCCTATCATTTAGAAACTTCCAGCGCGAGAAACCAACCAGGATCGTGATATAAAATGTACTGAAATTTCTGCAAAAATCTCAAAAACAATATTACGTGCGCCCTTACCGGGAAATTCAACTGTGTGAGGTAGGTGAACCACATAACACTGCCTGAATATAGTTTACGGTACATAGATAGCTATAATGAGACCTATGCCTCAGCTCGTTTTAACGATACGTAGCCGAATGGAAGACCTGTTTGCAAGTATAATGCGATTAAAATAATTAGTCTATAAATAGGACAATGTACAGGACCCAATATTTCTTATTATTAATCAGAGGGTAATCTAAGGAATCAAATATGTCGTCACAACTCACATTAATGAAATGAATTCCATCTGTCCCTACGAGTTTTTCAGTTCATAAGAGGTGATTTGAACTTCAGTATGACTTCAACCGAGAAAACTGCAGATTTCTTACCAAAAAATAAAAATATGAACAATTGCAAATTTCAGTTGTTGTAATGGTTGCTAGGCTCCTCAACCTTGAAGTTCGAACTAGATAAACAAGCCATCCTGAAGTTCACTAGAATACTAAACAGATATAAAGATTGATCTCCAAACACAGCTGGCCATACTTATGCATTCTAAGTTTAAATATTTGGCAAACAATAAGCAAGAGGGACTGTATACATATAGCAAGTCCGATTTTCGCGAAAACCATGTCTCGGTTATGAATACTGACTACTGATGGCTACCTCCATTATCAGCCCAAAGCTTCAGATGCCACAATGGTAAGTTTTTGAGGTTTATCATGTTTCATTTATAAGATTACCATATCATGTAAAGTACCTGTGAGTAATATCTGTGATCGTATGTTGTCATTTAAAATGGAATAAAAATTATAAGCATCTACGATCCAGAGAAGTTGTTAATCCTCGGTATTTCATCACCTTTTCTGTTGATATCCAAACTAAGGGCTCTTCTAACGTTACAAAAGGTCATGGACACCGACTAGAATATGGACTTTTCTACTCACTTCGTGAACTCTTAAAAAGCTATAGTGCCGGTGAAATGTCACTGGGCCCTAGACAAATCATCCGGCAGCTGGGTCACTGAATATCGAACAGATCATCGACCCCTATCAAAGTCAAGGACAACAAACTTGCAACAGTTAGTTTTGTGCGTTGGGCTGGCCTGTAGGTGCAAATAAATCCACAAAATAAATAGATCTGTAAATCTTCGAGCTTGGATGCTGGCCACATTAGTTTTAGTGGACTTGTAGTGGCATTGGGCCCTACCACGACACAATATGAGAAATAAACATTAAACATTTAACACGGAGAAATACAGAAGAATGGAGAAGGCGGGAATAATAAATTGAATTAGTCCGAGTTCATCGGATGACATGGCTCGGCCTTGCAGGCGCGGTCCCAGCTGAATGTTATCTTGTATCTTCTATTCATATGAAATATATTCTATCTCTAGCCTAAGCTTGTTCTCTATCACGTATTGGTAATTGTCACAATGCAATGAGTTGGTGTAGACGATGCTGTAACTTCCACGTAAGATCTTATAGATTAGGCAGTTACATCATGATAAATCTACAATTTTAGGATTAGGTCTACTATTATAGCAGTGCTCATATCATAATAGACCGTAATTCTAAAGTCTCACCTAGCTGATGACTCTCGGTCATGCATCCTCACAAGGTCACGAGTGAAAACGCCGTGCTCAACTTCCCCTGCACTCGCCAGCCAGTCTAGATCAGTTGATTCTCGATATATTGGTAGCCTATCGAAAATAACTTCGAACCTCCTCACTTCTGATTTTTGAATTCACTAGGTGGGCATGATTCATAGTAGAAGCTGTTGCTGGTTAAAGTGTCGTCAAACTTTAAATACCCGTGGCATCATCGGGCCAATGCGGTGGTGGTTTTACTAACTCAAATAGGTCTCTTATTATTCTACATAGATCGTCAGCGTTGATGATCTATAAAGTAAACGGTTATAAATGACTGCCTATCACCTACAAATTAATGGACTGTTTGAAATACCCCAGTGACAATTAACAGGACCACTTTCAGGTTCCAATATATTGCAAGGAACTGAGGTTTTTCGACCTGTGATGCCCGGAATATCCAGTGCCACAAAAGCCAAGGTTGGATGGCTTGGAGTTGATCAGACGACGACTTCGTGCAACCAGCCTTGCGATTTGGTACACACATTTTCTTACGTCACAACGTGTTACCCCGACCCCTCAACACAACTTATAGAGGATAAGATAAAACCTTTCACAATTGACTTGGGTATTTGTCGATAAGGACAAAGATGAAGATAATGCTACAACCGACCGAGTCACAGACGCTTATTAAGGTGACACCTCCGTCAACTTTCTCACCACAAAGCCAAATAAATCATGTTTGCGATTATAATGCAACGTCCAATAGCCAACGACCACAACGAGGCTTATCTAATGTCTAGCAACTGGCTGGAAATAAAGGGAGTTGGAAAAGCAATTGGGTTCTCAGAATACACTAACAACTAACATGTGTGGTACAGATTCTCAGCTTACCCCTTTTAATCTCGCCCCCTCGTTCCATGGTTTATTGGTTGTATTTTTGCCTTTTATCGTGTTGAAAAAAAAGAAAAACCAGAAATTTTTCGGTGAGTCTATATGTACAGTTGTCAAAAACCCGAAATCAAGGCGTATTGAATATATATATTTCTTGTGAAATTAACTAGAATATAACCCCAATGTGTACATAAACGTTTCACGATTTGGTTGCGTGTTAAAACATGTAGTCACAGTCGCTCAGCAACGCGTTAACACAGAATCGCGAGTGAGTACGTCGCACTAGGCATCCCTTGCAACTGCTAGCCGGCTTAGACAAAACGCTTCTCAACATATCATCAGCTTTCCAAATATATATTCGAACCCCTTTATTTCCAACTTCTGATCTGAGATAAAGTTTATCCTCTGATCGTGAAGGTGTTAAGTGCAAAGCCGTTGTCAAACTCAACATAATTGTGGCCTACTCGAGCATGACCTTTTTCAACATTCACATTTTCATTATTTTTTTTCCAGGACTACTGGAAACTCCACCTACAGTCACTCCGGGGGCTATTGTCGGTCAAAAGCCCAGATAAAGGAGGAGAGTTGAGCATGGGGTTAGCGACTCCATCCCGTAGAAAACGAACTCGCTAAAAAACGCTAACCAGAAAAAATTATTCAAACCATTTATACTCTGCCCTGGGAGCCCAACAAGGGACTCGATCATTCTGATGCGAGAGCTAAATGTCAAGGTTGGAACGAATAACACCGGATATGAAGACATTATAGGATGACACGGACTGGGAGGAAGGAGCAAAAATGATGAGAGATTTGCAAACCTATGTGCCTTCAACAAACTGGTAAAAGGTGGCACTATATTCCCACATAAACGCATTCACAAAAACACATGAACTTCACCGAACCACACTACACAGAACCAAATCTACCATATCTGCATCAACAAAAAGTTCAGGAGGAAGATGGAGGACGTGACAACCAAGAGAGGAGCTGATATAGCATCGTATTATCGCTTGCTGGTCGCCAAGATAAAAGTGAAACTCAAGAAGCACGGGACAACGGGGCGGATAATGTCACAAAGGTTTAATGTGGCTTTTCTTCGGGATACTGACAAACTCAACAAATTCTAGATAGCCCTCAGCAATAGATTCCAGGCCTTTCATGATTTACTCAATGGAGATGGAACTACTATGAAGAACAACTGGAAAGGGATAAAAGAGGCAGTCACTTCAATATGTCATGAGGTTTCGGGTCACAAGAAGCACCACTACTAGGAATGGATCACTGTTGATACACTGGATAAAACTCAAGAAAGGAGGAACAAAAAGGCAGCAAATAATACCAGCCGAACAATCGACCAGCTCCACTGAACCCACTCAACATCAAAGAAGCACACACGGACCCCAAAATCAATGTTGGCCCACCAACAATTGAATAGATCGGCATGTCTATCAGACAAATCAAGAGCGGCAAAGCAGCAGGACCAGACAACATTTCAGTAGAGCCGCTGAAAGCGGACGTAGCGGTAACTGCAATGATACTCCACATTCACTTGAGCCAGATCTGGGATGAAGAGCAAGCACCAACGGACTGGAAAGAAGGACATCTGATCAAAATGCCAAAGAAAGGCGATCTCAGTAAGTATGATAACCACATGGGCATCACTGTTCTCTCAATACTGGGAAAATTCTTCAACAGGGTATTGTTAAGCAGAATGAAGGATACCATGGACGCCTGACTTCGAGACCAACAGGCAGGGTCACGTAAGGATAGATCGCGTACAGACAAGATTGCAGCAGCACGGATCAATGTGGAACGATCAATTGAATCGAATTCATCACTCTACACCAACTTCATTGACTATGAGAAAGCATTTGATAGCGTGGACAGAACAACCCTATGGAAGCTTCTTCGACACTACGGCGTGCCTAAGATAGTCAACATCATACGGAGTTCCTATGATGGATTAGACTGTAAAATCTTGCATGGAGGACAGTTGACAAAGTCGTTCGAAGTAAAAGCCGATGTCAGGCAAGGTTTTTTAATCTCACCCTTTCTCTTTCTCCTGTTGATCGACTGGATCATGAAGACGTCTACATCTGAAGGGAAGCACGGGATACAGTGGACAGCTAGAATGCAATTGGATGATCTAGACTTCGCAGATAATCTGGCTATTCCAATGCAGGAGAAGACGACCAGTGTAGCGGCAGCCTCAGCAGCAGCAGGTCCCAACATACGATGATCGGAAGAGCAAGAGCAGCATATTTACAACTGAAGAACATCTGGAGCTCAAAGCAACTGTCAACCAACTCCAAGGTCAGAATTTTCAATAAAAATGACAAGACAGTTCTACTGTACGAGGTGGAGACATGGAGAACTACAAGAGCCATCATCCGGACGATACAAGTGTTTGTTAACAGCTGTCTACGCTAAATACTTCAGATCCGTTGGCCAGACACTATAAGCAACAACCTACTGTGTGAGAGAACAAACCAGATCCCAGCGAAGGAGGAAATCAGGAAGAAGCGCTGAAAGTGGTTAGGACACACAGTGAGGAAAGCACCGAACTGTGTCAGAAGACGAGCCTACACTTGGAATCCTCAAGGCCAAAGGAAAAGAGGAAGACCAAAGAACACATTATGCCGGGAAATGGAGATAGACATGAGAAAGATGAACAAGAATTGGATGTAACTTGAAAAGAAGGACCAGGACAGAGTGGGTTGGAGAGCTGGTCGGCGGCCTATGCTCCATTGGGAGTAACAGGCGTAAGTAAGTAAGTAAGTAAGGACTACTGGAAAAAATGAAAAAATTAAGGCAACCACGGTGAATCGAACTTTTCGTTTTGTACATTTTTATTATCTATTCTATGACTATTCGGAGTAGGAAAATCTATCGGATGTTGTAGAACGTAACTAAGTGTCAGAAGGGCGTTTATCAACACCAAGCTCTTTGTGTACAAACCTCCCTTTGGTTAAAATGTTATAGTCCGCTCTACTACATCAGCGGGTAATAAGATGTACCGCCAAATAAGTCCCTAAAACAAATGGTTTTACGGGTCTT